TCCTACTTCCAGGATTTTATTCTGATATATATTTATTCGTGAGGATCTTTTATTGTCACCCTATCACATTCCTGTAGGGGAAAAAAGCAATTTGAAATTAAAAAACAAAAAATTGTCCGACCATGAGGCTTATTTAAGTGATCGCTTTGTTTTGGATTAAGTTGCTACAATAATTAAAGTCTGATTATGACACATCATTTGGTTGAAAACTGCTGCACATTCACAGGCGGGTCAGTTGTAGGAAAAGAGAACCTGAGTGTTTTGAGGCTTCGGAACCTGGTTTGCTGAAGATCCTCCACGGACTCTCCGCACCCTGGAGAACTTGCTCTGCTCCTAGGGGAGCCTGCAGGAGGAGGGGATGGACTGAGCCAGGGGCAGGGCTGTGTCTGTGGGCCCCATGGAGGTGGTGCGGCAGAGACTGTGGGTGGGTGGGTGCCCCCCTGCAGCCGGGGTGTGCACTGTGTCTGTGGGCCCCATGGAGTTGGTGCGGCAGAGACGGTGGGTGGGTGCCCCCCTGTGCCTGGGGTGTGCACTGTGTCTGTGGGCCCAACGGAGGTGGTGTGGCAGAGACAGTGGGTGGATGGGTGCCCCCCGTGCCTGGGGTGTGCTCTGTGTCTGTGGTTCTGGGCCTGGCCTCTCCACCCTTCAGGATTTCCTGCCACCCCAAACCCAATTTAGTCTTGTTTGGCATTTTTTAAAAACCAGAATTTATTGAAAATTGTGTTTTAAAAAGTCATTCCAGTGATAAAATGAATGTTGCAGTCTTTGTTAATAAAATCCAATATTCTCGTAAAAGTTTGAACATGAAGGTGGTGTCACGGCTGCAGTCTCACTATCCGGTGGTGAGAACCAAGGGATTTGGACCCTGTGTCCGGCGTTGATCCCCATCGTAAAGATCCTCAGAGCAAGGCCTGCTCACTGGCAGGTTCACCATTGTTAGGGCAAAGAAAGCGGAAGCCACCGGAAGGGAACATTTTTTCCTACATGGAAATGCTTGTTACTGTGGCCTGGTTGGCAGCATGGGGCTCCTTGTTTTTCTTTGTGTATGTGTTTCCACACCTCCCCTCCTGGTACCCACTCTAGGCTCTAGGTGTTGGGAGAGAGGTGGTGCCTGTCAGTCTGCACTGGAGGTGGTTCTTAGCAATTATGTGAAGAAGTGCTACCAAGTGTCCCACTGTGAGACTCACACTGGTGCAGAGCCCCTCTCCACTCCCCGCCCCCCCACCAGGAGGGAGGGGCCTCAGGGAGGGGGTCTCCCCGCCCCCTAGGAAGGAAGAGCCTGGGGGATGGGCCCCCCCAGGAGGGAAGAGCCTGGGGAGGAGAACCATGCTCCCCCGGGAGGGAAGAGCCTCAGCGAAGGCACTCCCCCCGCCCCAGGAGGGAAGAGCCTCCGGGATGGGAACCCCTCGCCCCTCCCAGGAGGGAAGAGCCTCAGTGAAGGGGCCCCCCCGCCCCCCAGGAGGGAAGAGCGTCAGCAAAGGGGCCCCCCGCCCCCCAGGAGGGAAGAGCCTCAGGGAAGGGGCCCCCCGCCCCCCAGGAGGGAAGAGCCTCAGGGAAGGGCTGCCCTCCCAGAGCCAGGCCATGTGAAGGTGGGCCAGCTGCTGGCCGCGCTGCCTCCATGGCTAGGTCTTCACTTTCCTTGTGCTTTGTTAGATAAGAGTCCCAGCAAAATCAAAATCTAGAATCCTCACCTCGGTTAAGCCGTTCTTAGTCTTACTGTTGAGATTTTTGAAAATAACCTTTTAAATTAAAGAATAGATTGTGTACCTCGGCAAGAATTAGCCTCGCATGGCTATTTCCTCTTCAGGGTTTGTTTTTGTACCTTCATTGATACGTACTTTGAAAGTGCATTTTGTGTTTGTAAGCACCAGCTGAGGGGAATGACCACATGAACCAAGCAGCCTGCACGGTGGTTTGTAGGTGACCTAAAAGGGGACTGACTCCTGAGTTCTAACAGTGACTTCATTGCAGTCAAACCTGGTATACTGGAGAAACACCAAGACACTTTGTAAAGCAGACATGTGGCATTCGTGTGGCTTTCAAACAGTGTTCCATGTGCGAGGTGCATTCATTAGTGGACATGGCAGGAGGAGCTGTCATGTCTGAACTGTGCTTTGGAGGGAGGAGAGCATTCATCCCTCAGGAAGAAGGAAGGGCATCCCAGGGGTGGAGGTACATTCCAAGAGGAAATCACTGAATGTGGCAAACAGGGTTGCTGAGCTGGACAAGGCTCCGTGGGGAGAAGCAGCAAAAAACTCCAGAGAGCTGTGGTCACTGGAACATGAATCTAGGGTAGGTTCCCCAGTAGGGAGCCCAGGTGGTTCTGTGTCTGTTCTGGACATCAGTGGGGTGTCTGGCAGCTTAGTGTGGGCTCAGTGAGAAGCTTTGCAAGTACCACATGGCAGCAAGATGCACTCGAGAGACAGAAAGGGAAGGAGGGAGGGAAACAGACACAGACATAGTGCGCCTTTGGGACAGAGAGAGACGGAGACGGTGAGGTCATGAGAGCCAACCCCAAAAGCACATGCTCCTCTGTGCCTTCCAGCTCGCCCTGGCACTCCCCTCTCATCTCCCATCCAAGCCAGGTGCTACCCTGTTCTGCTCCGTGTGCTCTTACCTGGAACTCTCGCTCTGCCTCCCTGCCTCACCTGTAATCTCTACAAGCACTTCCTGAATCCCTCAGAGCCGTCTCTGCAGCCACATGTTCACCCATGCCATGGACCCACCGAGTACTTCGAGTTACCATTACTTATGACCTTGTTCACTTCTCCCTGACCTTGACTCTAGTTGATGCAGGTGCCTTGTCGTGTGTGTGTTTGTGTGTGTGGTAAAACACATCACATCAAACATAACCATTTTTAAGTGAACAGCTCAGTGCATCAGGCACATTCACATTGCTGCGGAGCCATCACCACCCTCCATCTCTGGAACCTCTTCATCTTTCCAAACTGAAGCTCTGTCTCCTTTCAACACTGACTTCCCATCCCTCTCTCCCAGCCCCTGGCAATGCCATTCTACTTTCTGTGTCCATCAGTCTGACGACTCTAGGGACCTCATGTAAGTGGGATCGTACAGCGTTTGTCCTTTTGTGGCTGACTTTTTTCATTCGGCACAGTGTCCCCGAGGCTCATCCATGCTGCAGCGCAGGCCCCAGCTTCGCCGCTTCTCAGGCTGAGTCACACGTCACTGCGTTTTGCACACGACACTTCTGATCCATTCGCCCGACAACTGGCCCTTGGGTGGCTCCCCGTTTTGGCTGCTGCAGTTGATGCTGCTGTCAACGTGGGTGTACAAACATCAAGACCCTGCTTTCAGTGCTTCTGGGGCACATGCCCAGTAGTGGAATTGCTGGATCACATGGTAGTTCCGTACTTAATTTTTTGAGTTTTTTGCAGCAGTCGCACCATTCCACATTCCTATCAGCAGTGCACAAGGGTTCCCATTTCTCCAGTTCTCACAACACTGATTCTTTTCTGTTATTTCCTGGTAGCCATCCGTGGTACTTACTGAGGTCTGGATACGTATTTCCCTAATGAGGTTAAGCATTCTTTTTTCCTAGTGTGTGAATGGTACTCACCTGGTTTGGATATGCATTTCCCTAATCAGGTTAAGCATCTTTTCATGTGTTCATCAGCCATTTGTATGTCTTCCTTGAAGAAATGTTTATTCACGTCCTTTGCCCATTTTTTAATCTGGTTGTTTTTTATTTTTCATATATTCTGGATAATAATTGCTGATGGATTTGCAGATGTTTTCCCCCATTCCATAGCGTGCTTTTTTCACTGTTAACTGTGTCCTTTGATCCACAAAAATTTTAAGTTTTAGAAATTTTTCTTTGTAGAGACAGGGTCTTGCTATGTTGCCCAGACTCATCTTGAATTCCTGACCTCAAGTGATCCTTCCCCCTTGGCCTCCCAAAGTGCTGGAAGTACAGGCGTGAGCCACCGCACCTGGCCCAGAAATTTTAACTTTGATTAAGTCCAGTTTGTCTGTTTTTTCCTTTGTTGCCTGTACTTTTGGTTTCATGTCTAAGAAATAATTGCCAGATCCAAACGTTGTGAAGCTTTCCACCTGTTTTCTGTAAGCCTTTTATGGTTTTAGGTTTTGCAGTTAGGTCTGTGGTCTGTCTTGGGTTAATTTTTATATATGGTTTAGAAAAGGGTCCAGCTCCGTTCTTTTTCATGTGACATTCAGTTCTCCCAGTGCCATCTCCTGAAGAATGCCCTATCTTTTAACACTTTTTACTGTGTATTGCACCGTGTGCACAGTAAAGTGTGGTTCAATTGAATTAAATTTAAATTTACAGTATCACAGGTCTGTAGGTGACGAGGGGAGCAGACAGAGAGTGGAGGTTCAGTTGTGTCTGTGCCTTCTGCAATGAAGGAAGTACTGGGAGTTTGCTGTCAGTATTACAGCCCTACCCTGCAGGCTGAGACGAGGCAGATTTAGGAGATCAGTGAGACTGAGTAAAATACCGTTTTAACACAACATAGTTACCTACTGTGGGATAAATACCATTGGGGATGTTGCAAACATAATGTTTAGCCATGATAAACTGGGAAAGCAGTTTTTGAGAAGTTTTGATGCTGCCCATTTTGGGTATTTTTTAGCTTAGTAAATGTATTCTGTAAGTCAGGGGTTGGAACATTTTTTTCTGCAGGCAGAGAACCAGCTAGAAAATGTTTCAGGTTTTTTGGACCACATGTGGTCACTGCTCCTCCTCCCTCCTGGTTCCTCCTTCTGACCTTTAGCCCTGTAAGTGCTGTTCTTAGCTTGGGCCGTGGTTTGTAGATGCTGACCTAACCCATCTGAGGGGCAACTAGGCACACATGTCTTAGTGGCAGGTGCTTTTGTGAGGACAGCGTGCTGTTTCCACTTGCAGACTTTCTCCTCTCTCCGTTGTATCTCATCTTTCAGTTGTGGGGAATTAATGGGGAGAAGAACCGTGATTTTGGTTGCATGTTATTTCAATGACCATCTGCTTATGCAGTTATAGTTATTCACTGTCTTTGTTTTGAAGCATGCAGCCAGTAAAGATCCCAGAGAAGTTCGAGAAGCTAGAGATCATAAGGAACCAAAAGAGGAGATCAACAAAAACATTTCTGACTTTGGACGACAGCAGCTTTTACCCCCCTTCCCATCCCTTCATCAGTCGCTACCTCAGAACCAATGCTACATGGCCACCACAAAATCACAGACAGGTAAAAGGGAGATCCAGCAACTGTCTTTGCTCTTTGAATGTATGTTTCGAGCCTGCCCCTTGCCAGGTGAGAGTTCTGTTTGACTGTAAGTGCCTGTGCTACTCTTGATGAATGACTGTTGACGTCAGCCGGCCCTCCCGTGCTCTCCTGTATGCCTGAGGAGGCACACCTGACGTCTGCTCTAAAGCCTTGGCTCAGGCCGGCGTTGATTTCCTAGCTTGTTAACATTCTCAAGATGAAGACTGTTTTCTTTACTAGTGTCTTACTCACTTGGTCTCTGTGGGGAGAAGACCCTGGAGTTGGAAGCTTTCCTGGTTTGTAGGTGAAGTGCCTTTGGGAATGCTAGGGTGTGCTGGGGAAGCCCCGGCCCAGGGGGAGGACCACCGCCCCCTCCAGCTGCTCTGCCACCAACCACCTCGCTCTGGGCGTGCTCCTCACTCTCCTGGGCTGGCTGCTTCTGTGGCCAGTTCTGGGAGTGGATGAACATTTGATTCCTCACTGGGGACCTTTTGTGGGAGGTGCTGGGAGGGCACCGGGACGTCAGAGTGAGCGACGCGTCAGGGTTCCCTGGGCTTTCAAACCTCCTCAGCTTCTGGGATGGAATACGTGCGTTTGGCGCTGTCCTGGAGAGATGCAAGGCCCTTCTTGCTGGCCCTCGTGAGTGCTGCTGCTGCCGGCAAGGCTTCACTTGAGGATGGTCACCTGGCCACAGGTGTCTGTCTTTTTCTGGACTTTAAAAATACTTTTTATTGGCTGGGTGCAGTGGCTCATGCCTGTAATCCCAGCACTTTGGGAGGCTGAGGCGGATGGATCATGAGGTCAGAAGTTCGAGACCTTCCTGGCTAACACGGTGAAACCCCGTCTCTACTAAAAATACAAAAAATTAGCCGAGCGTGGTGGCGGCGCCTGTAGTTCCAGCTTCTTGGGAGGCTGAGGCAGGAGAATGGCGTGAACCCGGGAGGTGGAGCTCACAGTGAGCCGAGATCGCACCACTGCACTCTAGCCTGGGCGACAGAGCGAGACTCCGTCTCAAAAAAAAAAAAAAAAAAAATTTTTTTTTATTTAAGTATTTTCAGACCTCCAGCAAAGTTGCAAAAATTCTACAGATAAGTCCTGTGTACCCTTTACTCATTTTACCACATGGCACAATCTCGCCCCCTGCCCGCCCCCATGTATAACTTTTTTTTCTGAGACATGAATGTAAGTTGTAAACATTGTGCCCTTTTATCCCTGAAAACTAATGTTATTTCCTAAAAATTACTGTAACGTCCCTAAAAATAGAAACATTCTCTTAGATAACTGCAGCACAGACATCCCAGTGAGGAAGCGTACCGCGATGCTGCTCTCTCATCTCAGTGTCCCGTTCCGCATTTCCCATGCCCGAGTGTCCTTAGGGCAGAGGACAAATACAATCTGGTCCTGGAGCCTTGAGCACCTGTGTTGTGTCGCGTTAGTTTCCTTTGATCTGAAGCATTGTCAGCCTCTTTGTCTGTCTGAGCCGTGGCGTTTTGAGTACAGGCCAGGTGTTTCATAGAATGTGTCTGACGGGGGTTTGCCCAGCAGTTCCCGGGAGTGGGTGCAGGTTGTGGAGTGATGCAGGGGACTGACAGGTGTCCTTAGGAATTGAATTTTGGTGGCTTTTTGTCCTGCTCTGCTGCTGGAGTCTGCAGAGCCCTCCATCTTAAAGTTACTGCTCCCCAGATTGCAAGCATGTGAGACCCTAAGGTGTTGCAGGTACCGTACGCCCATCACATCTCACCGGGCTTCAGCATCTGCCGTGACCCACGCTCAGCTCGTACTGCACGGTGGGTGCCAAATGGTGGTTTTCCAACTCCATCATTTCCTCCTGATATTTCAGTTTCTGCTGTAAGGAGGTGCTTCGCTTTCTTGTCCATCCACACAGTTATCTGTCCATTTACTCTTAAAAAAAAGAAAAAAAAACTCTTTTAAAAAATAGAGATGGGGGTCTTGCTATGTTGCCCAGGCTGGTCTTGAACTCTTGGGCTCAGGTAATCCTCCTGCGTTGGCCTCCCAAAGTGCTAGGATTACAGGCGTGAGCCATCACCCCCGGCCTATTTATTTTTAAGTACTGACTTATGGACTCTTATTTGAGTCTCTGAACTATAATCCATTCCTATCCTTATTTATTTTGTTGCTCAAATTGTTCTAAGTTTGTCCAGTGGGGTCCCCCTAGGCTGGTTCTGAGTCCTGGGGCGACGCCCACCTCTTCATGAAGACCTTCCCAATTCACTGGATGGTCTGCTTACCTGCCTTGTCCCTTCCCAGTGCTGGAATCGGCTTTCTCCAGGGAGCCCTGGTTCTTTTCATTGGAAGTTAGAAAACAAAATCAGTCATTATCTGCTGCCCTCCCCGTCAACTTTTTTGCTATTTGACTTAATTTTATTTGTTTGAAACAGTTAAACTTGTTGTGTTGCAAAACTATGGAGTAATGCTCACGTATATTAGGACGTACAAGTAATGTCTGAAGTGTTGTTAAAGTGTCGAGATTTTCTTTTCCTATTTTAGCTTTATTATATCATCATCTTTTTAAAAGAGCTTTCTAAAAACGAAGTACCCAGTGTGTTTAGCAGGCCCCAGTTTACCCTTCCACAGCCGTCTTCCTCCACCACCCCTTCCTTATCCGTAACCTGGAAGTGGGTGGTCCATCAGCGAGTTAGCCGAGGACAGTGTGTAAAACGGCCTCGAGCCATGGAGGAGAAGTGCTCGGCAGTTAGCTGCCTGCTTTGATCCAGTGGTTAAGATACTCAGCCTCAGCTGCTTCCGTGTGTTGTCACCCCAGGGCTTCCGGAGTGGGCATGAAGGTACAGTTTCTGTGCTAGAACGTGCTTCCTAGAGAGGAGCATGGCACGCACAGCTGCCTTGTCTTGTGGTGGCCGTCAGTGCACCTTTCTACATGGCTGGGAAGACAGGAGTGCCGGTGGAGGAGTCCGCTGTCAAGTGTCGGGGGGCCGGGGGTGCAGAGTCCACTTATCGGGATGGCAGAGAGAGACAAAGGCCTTTTACAACAGTGTCCATACAGAGCAGGAATCTGGGTAGGTTCTGTCCTGTTGTCACAGGATCCCTTGAGTGTCACTTTGCCAGCCGTAAACCTCTGTGGCCAGCGGTGCCTCTGCTTGAGTTCCACTCGCACCTGCTGGGCTCATTCTGCCCACTCAGCCCAGCAGGCTGTACTCGGCTCATGCTACCGGCCCAGGTGCCACACCTTCTGAGGGCAAGCCGGGAGTGGAGCAGCGAGGTGTGTGTTGGTGAGCAAGTGTGGCGTGGGGCCACTGTGCACAGCCAGGCTCGCTTGGCTGCTGTGGCGGGGCGGGCGGCTCCAGGCTCTGGCTCCGAGCAGAGCTTTGGCTGGATAAGGCATACCGCAAGCGGTTTACGCTGCAGGCGCTGGCGTCTGGATGAGGGGAACACGGTGCCGCCCCAAAACTTGGAGTCACCAGCAACTGCGGAACCCCAAGGGGATGGCCTGGGAGAGTGTTCTGTGGCTCTGTCGCTCTCGCCACCCACAGTACGGGTGGGGTGTGTTTTCAGCTCCTCCAGCTCTGCCGCTTTCGCCCTGGCCTGCAGCTCCCAGGAGGGCCCGGCTCCACCGCTGCTTGCCATCACACAGGCGGAGGGCAGGACGGCTGTAGTGTTACCGCTCTGGCTTGAGGAATCCCGAGGTTTGGGTCCCCAGAGGGACCGCCGCTCTTCACTCCTGGTTCCGCGAACGGGGGCGAGTCACGGCCGGCAGCCCAGTGAACCGGCCAGGAACATGCTGCGGCCCTTTCTGCACCTGCTGTTGGGTGGGTCCCGAGTTCTTGTCCTGTGTCCGTGGACACCTGGAGCGGGAGCAAGGTGGAGAAGAGTTTTATCGACCAACAGAACCGCTCTCAGCGGAGAGGAGCCCCACAGTCAGTAGCCGCTACCGGCAGCCAGGCGGGCGGTCCTGCTGTGTGACCGCGCCGGGGTCTGTGTGGGCCCGGCATGGAGGAAGTGCCTGCTCATTGGCCCAGGCCTGGGCCTGGAAAAGACACCATCTGATTGGCTAAAAGGCCTCAAGGACGTTCTCCCTCGGGGTCGTGGATTCTGTCGGGAATTGGCAGCCCGGTTTGTAGGCTTCAGGCTGCCTTTGGCTTGAAGGTCGGGTTTCACCGGGGACCTGCTCCCGTCTGCCTCAGAATCCGTCTGCCTCAGAATCCGTCTGCCTCAGAATCCGTCTGCCTCAGAATCCGTCTGCCGTTACCACTTTTATTTCTTCACCTCTCACTCCATTGCCTGCCATTCCTTGTTGCCTCCCTGTGGGAGGGGTGTTGGAGCCAGGTTATCAAAGAAAGGCTGAGATTCCTGTCATGTCTTTCTGTAAATTTTTAATTCCTGTGGTGATGGTCACGGACGGTTCTGCTCTCTCCCTCCTGCTGCCCCGTTAAGTTTACCACAGGCAGGAAAGAAGAGCAGAGTCACGTGTCGGTTTCAACGTGCGTTGTCCTGCTGACGCCATAGCAGAGCCCGTGCGTGTAGCTCCTTCCCGTGGGCAGCCGTAATTCTTAGTTTTAGATGGAGGGTGGCTGGGACTCCGTTCGACCTGTTCTGCACCCTCCACTCTGCAGTATTGGAAATGAAAGATCTGTGCTGTGCAAGAAGGTTGGGAACATGTGTTTGTGTGACAGCCCCAGGCTGGGGATGGCTGTGCTGACTCGGGATCTCAGGCACCCAGCATTGTTTCAGGTGAGCATTCATTCGTTTTACAGAGTGGACTGGCATCTTTGTTAGCAGCTTGTTCTGTGTCTCTCCAACGTGTAGCGGTTGACGATTAAAAAACGACCTTCACAGCACCAAAAACTGATTTCAGAGGATTCTAGAAAGATAGTGGGGCAGGAAGACCCGGAATTCACCTCCTCACCTAGACAGCAGTTCCCCTGGCAGAGTCTAGCTGATGGAACTGTTGGGAACTCTGGAGTCCACTGAAGGTTTGCAGCTTCTAGGCGGGAGGCTGGGACGTG